GGGGGCAGCAGCCCCACTGCAGCTGCCCCGCTGGTGCTTGGAGCTTTGCACACAGGTGTGTAGGCCCTGGGGGTGCGCACATGCATGGGGGGTACATGTGCAAAGACAGGGGTGTGTGTGCCCAAATGTGTCCATGCTTGGGGGGGGGGTGTTCACATGTGCACACGTGGCCCCCCCGCACCATGCAGTGTTGGAACCCAGGCGTCTGAGCTGGCTTTCGCCCAGCCTGGAGGCTTCTGCCATGATTCTGGCCCCACAACACCCACCCCACGCGTGGGGCTTGTGCAGGCGAGACGTGTGGCACCTGGGAGCCGCCTCCCTGCCCTCCCCTGTGCCTGGAGGCGGGGCCGGATCCTTGCACGGATGTGACACGTGGCTCGACACACCCCAGTCCCTGGAGCCTTGTCCCCCCCGGCCTGGATCGGGCCCACAGGCACCGCTCAACCCGGCCCCTCTGTGCCTCTGTCCCCTCTGCGGAGCTGCACACACCCTCTGTGTAAATGAGCAGGGGTCTCTTTCCTTGGCCCTTGGGGGTAAATCATGCAAGGATCCAGCCCCCAGGCCCACATGCAGGGGGTAAGCATGGGTGTGCACATGTGAACAAGTGTACGTGGACTCATGTCTGTGAACTCACGTGTGTGCAGGCCCTGAGGGCGTGTGCATGCAGGTGTGTGGGCATATGGACATGTACATAATGGATGTGGGCATGCGTGTGAGGGCACGTGTGCCTGTGCACGCATGCACATGTGCGTCGGCATGTATAAAAGTGCATGCATGTGTGTGGGCATGTGTACATGTGTATGCATGTGTGTGGGCGTGTATACATGTGTATGTGCGGGTAGGGATGTGTGTTAGTGCATGTATGCATGTGCATGCATGGGTGTGGACATGCATGTTTGTGCATGTGCTCCTGGATCCGGGGCAGCCCCCCCGACAGAGCCGCCAGGGTCACGATCCCTCCCACCCCTCCACTCAGCTCCCTTGCACCCAGGCCTGGCCCCCCGTGCCCCGGCTCCAGCCCCTGCATCTTCCCGGGGCCCCTGCGACCTGGAGGCAGCACTGGCAGGGTCGGGGGCCCCAGGGCTCAGAGCTGCTGGTGGGTCATGGGCCCCGCGGCATTGCAGTCGAGGTGGGCTGCTAAGACCCCTAGATTCAGAAGAGGAACATGCCCCCAGCCCCTCTCTTCCAGTCCAGCCCCACCCCGGGACTGCCCCTAGCCCGCAGAGAGACAGCGCGGGCACGGGGGTGTTTGACGAATGCCTTTATTCGCTACCAGGTACAGCGGGTCACTCGCAGGG